TCCGTCGATAAAGGTCAGGCAACGCATCCGCTATTGCAGATGTCTATGGGCAGCGGTCGCTTCGCTGTATCGGCGGATTCATGTGGCCGTTTGCTCGTTTGTCACCTTAAGATATAAAAAAGTAGCTAAATTTTTTCTAACATAAAAATCGTAATAAAACCGCTTCAGACACATTTGACTTCTTAAACATTACATTAGTGTTAAATATTGTAACATAATATGTAAGAATTAGATATGAAATGCACATAAATTTGAATTAATTTAAAATTTTTCGTGTAACGGAACGCATTTTTTTTAACATTTTATTAATTTTTAGGATTCAAATTTCGAATTTAGAATCTTTTCAATTCATTATTCTTTGTTTAAATTCTTATTTAATTAACGTTATAATGTTTTGGTTACAGATATCCGAAAGTGCCTATAGTAAAGGGATGTGCCTTCAGTGAAAGTGTAACTCAGTGATTATCGTAATAGAGTTTAAAATCGTTTGTTCGTTTACGTAATACTGTAGTGTTTTGTTCTTGTGTGAGATACAAAAATAGCTGCAGCGATGGAATTAAGATGGGTTTTGATCAGCACGGCGTTCTTAGCAGTGGTATGCTTCGCACAGAATACAGGTAAGCTATTTTATTAAAAAGAATACTTAATACATTTATCACGAGTTGAAATATTCAATAATTATTAATAGTTCCTAAACATAAGTAATAATAAAATATAGCCTATGTTACTCACAGATAAATTACCTTTCTGATGGTGAAAGAATTTTTAAAATCGGCTTAGTAGTTTTTGCGTGAATCAAATACATACTAAATATATATAGATGAATGATAGTATAGATGAAGTAACCTAACATTTAATTGTCGACACACCCTCGAATAGAGCATCTTTTTCTCGTGTTTTGTGTGTTTCATTCAGAATATGTTGGTAGATTGAAAACCAACAAGTATACAATACTGTTGCTCGCGATTTTGTCCGCGTAAAAATAAAAAAATAGCCTTTATTACTCCCAGATAAATTACCTTTCTAACGGTACCAAATTTTTTCAATTCGGCTCAGTAGTTTTTGAGTTATTTCAATATATAAAAAATACAAATCTTTCCTCTTTATAGTATTACGATATGGAACATATTAATTCAAGATTAAATACCACAGAGTTATTAATGTGAGAAATTAACACTAAGTGGCTTTTTAGTAATGCACTAACCATACCCAAATCTTGTAGAAATGTCATACATGTCAAGATGGCGCGATTATGGCGGGAAGATCCGTTATCTTTCTTTACTC